AGTAGGACTAGTTTTCTCTGGTAGAGACAATGGTGCTTTTCACTGGTTTCATCTTTATTTCCTCCTGTCGGAGCTGTAGAAGGCATGCGGTTAAGACCAGAAAGACTGGAGAGACTGTAACTGGCTTAGAACACACCCCTACCCCGCCGAACCCCTAACGGCTGCGATCAGGATGATTTACAGTCACCAGGGTGACGTTCCTCAAGCCGAGTTCAGTGAGTAGCTCACGTCCAGACTTTGGAAAGGCGACTGGAAATGCTATTACGTCTGGTGACTAACTTGGGTGTACTACACCTGGTTCTTGTCTGCATGTCTCGAGGACCCGAGCTTCGCAAACTGATAGTTCGTCGTATAGCCAATTCGCACCCCAGTCGCCCACCCCCCCTCCCCTCAAACTCCTCCCCTCCCTCACGATGTAGTTTTCTATGGCGGTGGTGGTGAGTCTGCAATAAGTACTGCATGGTTTATGAGTAGGCATCTAAGAACTAGTTATCACAATTGAGGTACTCTTTCCTCGGAATAATTTTGAACAAGGCAAAAACGCCAAAGTGCGCAGAATTTAATGACGTCATATAATTTCGTGACTGCTTATCCAACTGCTTACGGTCATTATTCATCACTTTTCACCTTTCCAGGTCGATGTTTAATCGGACAGTCCGTCTTGCCTTTTTAATAGGTAATTAACATGCGCAGTTGAATATCACGTCATGAAATTCCACGACTCCATTAAAATCCTACGCATTTCGTCTTGTTTGCCTTGTTCAATTAGCATAAGCCAGCCTATAATGTATGGTGAAGTCGTTGATGCAGTCCGTCGTGTGCTTACCCTTAGTCTTTTGGCTTTGCCTTCGCTATTTAAGCCTTTTGGATGTGGAAAGGGTGACAGGTAACTGTGACCGACTTCTTGCGCAAATCCCCCCCCTTTCTGGAGCAATTTTGATCCTTAACCTCCTAACACTTGTTATCTGCACAGATACCTGCATAATGAGAGTATGGTAGCCTGCGGCGTGGGATTGAAAGTGATCCAAATTCTTCGTGAGAACTTGGCCCCCCAAAGAGACATCGCTGTTTTACAGAAGCACACGTCAGGTCTCCCTTCCGCACTCCAATGTGGCTTTCTGTCCTTAAAGGAGCTCAAGGTTCACTGTCGTAAATAATAATCAGTTCTGTCTTTGTGACCTCAAAGACGCCATACAGAAAGGTAGAGGCTTCGTTTTAACCCAATATCGGGAAATTGATCCCTGTGTTTAAGGGTCTTTACACTCTTAGTACTATCAGCATCTAGATAGTAAAAGTCCGTGGATGTTAAACGGTTTCAGTGCCCTCTGGCATTATCTCTGACCACATAAAGTTCTACCAATCCCACATTCCCAGCCCTGGCTTCCAGATAAGTCATATTTCCCACGGGAATTAGCATTTTTACAGACTCCAAACTAAGGAGGCGTAATTTGGCTGAGAAAGAAGGGCTTCCTCGTTCCGGTTTCTTGGGTGCGCGGCAGATGAAAAAGCTTACCCGGCGGGATAGAGTTGGGGAAGGGGGCGGTCTGGCTTGAAATGCCACAAGGTGTGGGGCGGTTCT